GGAGGGTAGGGTTTAGGGTTTAGGTTTAGGGTTTAGGATTGAGGGTTTAGGGTTTAGGGTTTAGGGTTTAGGGTTTAGGGTTCAGGGTTTAGGGTTTAGGGTTCAGGGTTTCGGTTTTAGGGTTAGGATAGGACTTACATAGGGCTTCCGGCTCCGATCAAGTTCCCACTTGTCACTTGTCTGCACTGGCATTGTATGCTTGTTCCAGCCCCTTCCTGGCTTGCAAGTTGCACCTCCCTCCAAATCATGCTCATCAACTAGCAATGTGCGTTTGCTACAAGAAGTGTCCGTCTGTAGGTTTGGGATTTGGGGTGGAGGGAGCGGGTCTACAAACAATGACCATTGAAAAGAAGGCGACTAGTGGTACCCAACATAGTCATGAGACTCGTGTTGACAAGACTTTTCTTTTGGCACAGGTTCAGGCCATTGGACACATTCCAGATTGCCTACGGGATCGTGCTTAAGCTATATAAAGCTTTAAAGGCACCACCTTATTATAAAAAACTGACACCCCTGATTTGAGAACCCCCCTTGTTCCGGGTGACAGGTTGGAGCGCGAGCCGGCGCCCATGGACCAAGCAGCGCCGGAGCCTCCCAAACAAACAGACTGAAGGTCGTAGGAGGGACTTTCTCAGTTTGGGAATCTGCCATTCCGGGGGTGTAGAGTCTTAGTCATGTCTTAGGGTTTAGGATTTGGGGATGAGGGTTGATAACCCCTTTGGAGGGGCTTCGAGAGAACTTTAGAAGGGTTTGGGCTTGTTTCCAGGCGCGAAGTTTTAGGACCTAAACCCTAAACCCTAAACCCTAAACCCTAAACCCTTTTTTGGTGGTTACCCTTCGGGGTTTCCGGGTCGTAGCGTTGTCCGCATTCAACTTTTAAAATCTTAGGGTGCAGGGCCCGGAAATTAAGGCCGGCACCCGGATTTAGGGCTCAATCCTTTGAGGAAAGCCTAAACCCTGAACCCTCAAAGTTCGTGCAGATTTTCAGTTCTCTTTTCAGCTTTGACGGTCTGCTTGGGGCAGCTAAAGACTCCAAGACTCAAAACCCCAGTAAAACCTCAAACCCTACAACCCCAAAACCCCGAAAGACCCCCCAAAAGCACAAAACTCCTTACCTGGCTTTCTGTTGGTGTCACACATTCTCGCAAAACCTAATTTCTGCGGGATCCTCGGAGAGAAAATGAAATCCCGGTGGCTTTGTATGGCTTTGACTGAGTGTTAATACTAGCACGGGACAACTGATAATAAAGAGTTGTGTAGCGGGTGCCGCGAGGTTTTTCAGAAGGTATCTGAAACAACAAAACAGCTCCACAAACTTCGCGACTGGTCGCGCAGAATGCAACCCCGAGCCTTAGATCCTAGCCCGTTGCCATTACCTCTGAGCGGGAAAGGAATCCAGCCTTGACCACACTCATCGCGCCCGGAACCTGTCAAGAGGCGTAGACCCCCCAAACCGGAAACCTACACCCTGAACTTCAACAAGGGGCATTGCACAACAAACAGAACTAACACGACCTCATTCCTTATTATCGAGACTCACGTACGAAAAAAAAGAAAAACAGAAGAAGCGCTAAGCCTTCACGCGCAGAACCCTAAACCTAAACCGTAACCCTAAACCCTAAACACAAGCCCTGGGAGCTTCCAAGAGTTGTTGTGACCCTGTGGGTCTTGCTTCTCAAGCACAGCGAAGAAAGAGAGCGCTTTCCAAGTCGAGCTCCTAAGTCATCTTGGGATTACCAAGCTCAAGAAGCAGGCGAACAAGCCTCAAGACCATAGCCATAACAACCCTAAACCCTAAACCCTACACCCTAAACCCTAAACAAGATCCCCAAAGGACTCCCTAAGCCCTTCAACCTCCGAAAGCCGAAGCGTCTACGCGCACTGACCTCCACAGAGTCCTGGGTAGCTGAGAGCCTTCACGTTTACTAGGTGTCGATATCAACAGTCCCCAGAACTGTTTATAATTCGGGGGCTCTAGAGGCATAAATAGTTACCAATACTATTGTGGGGGTTCCTAATTATGATTATAGTACAATGAGCCCCAAAACCTTATTCTAAGTATTAAGGCCCCTATACTATATTACCAATTGAGGCAATGGATATTAAAAACTAACCCTAAACCCTAAACCCTGAACCCTAAATCCTAGGTTAGGTCCCTTGGCATCGGCTCCTGCCTCCGCTAAAGCGCCGCCCTGCGCAGGGAGGCCGGGCAAAAGTCGGACGAAGGCTCTGGGGTTTAGGGCCTCCGGTTTACTTATTTACATATTTATTTATTTACTTATATATATATATATGTATTTATTTATTTATTTATTGGTATTTATTTAATTATTTATTGAAGTTTGAGGTTTGGGCTCCAATCAACGCTGCGGCTGCGAAGACTCTCCGGATACGCTTCACGCTGTTTAGGCAGAACGATATGGGTAGTTCTCTAAAACAGGGCCCCTCTTTAGGCCCCGAGTATAGTACGGCACCCTTATAAAAGGACCCCAAAAGGGACCCTAATTTTGCAAACTATCCATATGGAGATGGCCTTTCATCTCACCAAACACAAGACCACACGTCTGCCCGGCCCATCTCCGTCTCCTAACTGCACGCCTACTGTGGGCTTCAGCTTGTAGTGGCCGGCGGCCGGGTAGTCGATGCGAGAGTCCTTAGAAGGAGGCATCGGCAGGACGGAGGAGTTGAGGCTTCGAGGGCTTCGGATTCCAAGCATTCCGGCAAGGTTGCGACGAATCCTGAGGCAAAGCGTCTCCGAAATAGATTCGCTTGGGCAGTATCCTAGACCGGGTAATAAAGCAGTCCGAAAATCCGCAGGAGGAGAAACAAAAACAAGACTTAAGCTGCCAAATCTCCGGCATCTCTTTCAAGCGCTGGCCAATCCTCGGCACCGAGCAACGCCGCAACCCCTCTAAACGAAGCCATCACGGTTGAGGGTTGAGGGCTTGAGGGTTTAGGATGATTTAACTCTTGAAACCGCTTTCCATCTGTCCTGAACCCTAAACCCTAAACTCTAAACCCTAAACCCTAAACCCATGTTTTAGTTTTCCGGGCTGCAGGGCTTCGGGGTTCGTGGTATCCGGGAGTCAATGGACTCGGGGCTTTAAGCCAGCAGGGCTTCAGAATTTCGGAGTGGTGAGGTTTAGGATTGAAGCTGCAAGATTTCCAGTGCCAACAGGTTTCAGGTTGTGCTGCTCAATGCATGCACGAATCACAAAGACATCAACCAACTGCAGCACTTCTTTTGGTCTCGTTCTTCCGACCACTGGTATCCGTGTTCCGACCAATTCTATCACCATCCATCTCCCTATCGATGCCAGTCTGATTGTCCCTCATTGGCTTCCTCAAGATCCAGCAACCTAACCTTTGAGCCTTGATACTTAAAACCTTTAGAACCTCCAGCAGCACCAAGGCACTTCGCAGTGGGGCCGAAGGGAATGCCATGGTGTGCCGTGAACTCTCCGGGGCCTACCTGACTCAGCTTCTAGGATTCTAGGTAGGAGTTTTCGGATCTAAAGGTTCTAGGTTTTAGAGTTGAGGGTAGGCTTTAAAGGTTACAGATGTTTGAGTTGTAGGGCTTCAAGGTTTCGGGGTTTAGAGTTTAGGGATAAAGGTTACTGGTTTTATGGTTTTCCGTCCACGGTTAGTGGGCTTAGTGTTTCGGGTTGACTAGATCTTCGACATCCAGAAGCTCGTAACACACTAGCAGCATAGGCAGAGACACCTTCTCGTCGGAAGGGCTCCCCCTTGGATCTTAGATTCCAACGCAACATCGGGGTTTCCGGAGTTCTACAAGAAACCTCAAATTTGGGTCTGCAGTTCGCCGGCTAAATACCCTGGGCCCCAAACGGAAACCCCCCCCCCATCTTGCACCTTCCTCACTCCTATCGCTTCCGCCAGCTCTTCATGAGCGTTCCTTGCTCGCATCTGCCACGCGCCACACGGAGACGTGAGACTTTGGGGTTTGGGGTTCGGGGACCCCAAACCCTAAAACTTTAAACCTCTAAAACCCTGAACCCTAAAACCCTAAAACCCTAAAACCCTAAAACCCTAAAACCCTAAAACCCTAAAAACCCTAAAACGGCCATGACCAGAGGCTCCAAACCCTCTACCCTGAAACCCTACAAACCCTAAAAACAAAGATTGAACGCCGAATTAAACCCTACAGAAAGAAGCTCGATGCGATGTAGAAACAACTTGTAAAAAAATAAAGCTTCCAATTCGACACAAACAATAACCCCGTGCTTAATCTTTACGGCAAGTCTTATAAGCGCCATCAAGACAACCCGTTGCAAAACAAACAGCACCCAAAGTACACAATGAGACGTGCCTCCGACACTTGCAGCGTGTTCTCAGAGCGGCCTCCTGTGAGGTGTCCGTTGGGCTTTTCAGCTGTTGGGCCCCTGGGAAGGTGCCAAAAGATCATGTCTGGGGTTTGTCCGGTAAAGATGTTCTTTGACGGGTGTGTAAACCCCAAACCACAGAGGTTCAGGGGGTTTTGAGACAGTGAGGCTTGCAGCGACTACAGCCGTTCCAGGCTTTGAAGGAGGTTTGGCGGTTCGGGGACTTCGGGTGCTGCGGTTCAGGCTTTGTGTTGAGTTTGTTTGGCGTCCGTGCGGCGGAGGGCGTTGTCCTGGGACCAGGGGCACCAAGGGATGTAGTGAATTTCCACGCAGTGCTACCAGAAGTCTCGAACCTCACTAATGATGCAATGGGGCTATCTCTCCCAAGCGAAATCAAGACTCTGCAACGTATGTCATAGGTTCGAATTTCACTGAGCTAAACGCGAGTAGGTAGTTTGACGGGGCACGGTTGAGACGGAGTGCAGGACCCCAAGTTAGTGAGCCTCATGACCCCAAAAAACCTCATGTATATGTAGAGTCAATGTAGAGCTCACGTATACTGAACTCGGGAGTCTTTTCCGACTCGGTTTTGCGCCCCTGCAAGCCTTGCACTCCGACAGCCGCAACCCAAAACCCTGAAGTCCGAAACCTGCACACCACCTGCAAAAGCCCGAATGTTGCGAACGGTTTGGGGTTTAGGTTTTAGGGTTTAGGGTTTAGGGTTTAGGGTTTAGGGTACATATGGACATTACTACCCGCAGCCTTAAATCCCGACCGCTTAGAGTGCTAGTTCCTCAAACCTCCAGCCTCAGTCCCAAACCCATATCCATCGGTTCGGCCTGTGCCCTGCGTTCGAAGCTCAGCCAAACATCTAGCGAACACGGAGACTGTGACCCAAGACGTAAACCTCAAACACTGTAAACTTAGCCGGACCAACCCTGACTTCCGCTGCCCGACCAAGATGGCAATGGCATTGGGCATTCCGCTTTTGTGCGGAGGGGAGAGTTTCCGCTTTGAGTTTCCCCTTCGTCTTGCCAAACAAAAACACAGGCCCCAAAACGTACAATCTTCTGAATTTCCCGGGGCAAAACATCGGTGAAGGTATAAGACTCTTATTAGACCCAAGTCCTCCAAAAGTCCGACCCCTCCCCTGGCCGCCGCGCACCTGTGCGGTTGCCCCAAGGGACTCGCGCAGAGCTCGACCAGGAAGGCTCCTGGTCGTTCTTTCCGTTACAGCTTAAGGGTCCTAACCGGATGTGTTTAGGGCTTGGGCCTGGTATACTTTAACTTATCAACCCTAAACTGGCCCTAAACCCTAAACCCTAAACCCTCATTAGCTCTCCTCTGCAGAGCGTGACTCAAAAGCCGCGAAGCTGAGATACATGCTCCCGCTGTACGCAGACTTGAGACTCCAAGGTTCAGTTTAGGGTTTAGGGTTTAGGGTTTAGGGTTTAGGGTTTAGGGTTTAGGGTTCAGTTTTTGAATTCGGGGCTCAGGAGTTCGTATTTACATGGCTTTAGGGTTTAGGGTTTAGGGTTAGGAGTTCGTATTTACATGGATTTAGGGTTTAGGGTTTAGGGTTAGGAATTCGTATTTACATGGATTTAGGTTATCCAAGTTCAGAGTCGGGGGAAATCCCACCCTTCCTAGACCCAAGGCCTTGTCGCAGACACGGTGGAGGTTGTAGGCCGCCGGTCCGGGCGTCGCTGTGCCCCTGAAAAGTTCGACACTAATCGCTTGTGAACGACAGCACAGCCCGTCATCAGATACCCATAACTGTCTGGTGCTTAGTGGGGAATGGGGGAATGGATCCCTATGATAGTCCCTTAAGGTCCCTTATAGTAGTCCCTGTAACCCATTCCCCCATTCCCTACTAAGCACCAGACAGATAAACCCTAAACCCCAAACCGCCCAAGCGCAAAGCCACAACAATCCCCTGTTTCCCCTCCTCTTAATCCCCTCCTCAATCCCCAACCCCCCCCCCCTTTATCCTGGCCCACCTGAACTCCTTTCCTCTGGACCGATGGACCGATTCACCCGCCACCCCCACTTCTTTACCCCGCCTCTTGTGCTTTTTCTTGTTTCTACAAGTTGGTTTTAACGGCCTACCCCAAGTGATGGCTTCGGGGTTGAATTCGTCGGTTTGGGTTTTGGATTACGATTAGATATAACTGTCGATATGACTACAAGTACTACTCTGACCTGAATCTTCAGTACTGACTCCTAAGTTCGTAAGCCGGATAGAACGCCGAAGCAGAAGATGACGGAGGGGCCGAGTTCTCCACGCGTGCGAGTCGCAGCGCGGCTCTGCCGGATGAGTCCATGGACATCACACCGCAGACGTTCACAGGAGCCATCATACGAAGGTAAGGACGATCACTGCGCAAGTATAAGGGTGCGCACGAAGCCGGATCACCTAAGATCGAAGATTGAAGATGTCTGCTAAAGTTCTGGTGAACTTTGAAAGCTTCGATTCAGGGGTGGGTGGCTCGAAACAGCTTTAAGTCTGCTATAGTTTGAAAGAATCCTCTATTTAGGAGTGGATGGCTTGACATGGCTTCAATGGGCTTGAAAGTCAAGCCGGATCACTGAAGATTGAAGATTCCTGGGAAGGTTTCGGAGGAATCTTCGACTTGGGGGTGGATGGCTTGAAACGGCTGGAACTTTTCTAGCCGGTCCATCGTAAACTCAAGATTCATGAAACTGTCCTGGACATCTTCAATCTTCGGTCGACCGGCTTGAAATTCAAGCCGATTCACGACGGTTGGGTCCGGGGATGCGCGGCTTGAAAAAAACTGAACCTGCAAGCCGGCCCCTCGTGAATTCAAAAAGGTGAAGACTTCACAGGGAAAGGGTTCGACGACAGTTCGAAACGATCGAAGGGGCAGAATGCACAAGATTTGCAGCCAAAGAGGTAGAGAACTACGGGTACCATACATATACGTATATATGTATGCATATATACGAACACATACACTGTGTGTGTATTTATATATATATATATATGTGCGTGTATCAACCCATAAATACAGGTACGGGAATATATGACCTGGCCCTCTCCGCTCCTCCCAACGATGTCCCCTCGCGAGGCGCCGCCAAAGCCCCGGCTCAGAGTTCTTCCTCGGACAGCTTCTGAGACTGAATAGGGTTTAGGGTTTAGGGTTTAGGGTGTAGTTTTAGGGTTTAGGGTTTAGGGTTTAGGGTTTAGGGTTAGGGAAATAACAGAGTCTGGGGGGTTTGGGGTTTGCTTCTTTGCGGGTTGGAGGTTGAGGGATTTAAGGCTTTAGTTGTCGGGGTTTGAGGTTTTAGGGTTTCGGGG